TCTCAATACTCTTCTCCAGCACCACAGCTCAAAGGCATCAATTCTCCTTCTATCCTCCTTAGTCATTGTCCAACTGTCTGATGCGTAACAAGTGATTGCGAAGACCATAGCCTGTATCAGACGCACTTTAGTCGCCAGAGAGACTCCATTGCTCTTCAGTACTTTGGAGAGGTCCCTAACAGCAGACTTTCCCATGGCAATGCGCCTTTTCATTTCCTGGCTGTTGGTGCCAAGACTGTTGACTATGGAGCCAAGCAAACTAAAGCTGTGTACAATCTCAATCTCTTCACCATCCTAAATATAATTTATTGACAAAATGACTGTAACAGGAATATACAGGAAATTGGAGTAAGAAAGGTTATTTGTTTAAAGTATATTAAATTTATAGGGAAATAAGTACCCAGTTGATTAAGCTAATGTCTTTATTATCCATATGAAGAGGCTAGTCCTTAGAAAAGACATTATGTAGGACAAGATGGAGAGTCAGAAAAAAAGGGAGACTCTCATCAGTATGGACTGACACAGTGACTATAATAATGAGCTTGAGAATATCAGAGATGATGAGAGTGATGCAGGATAGGATATGGTTCACATCTTAAGTTCATGTGTGTTTGTGAGTAGTGATTTACTCAAGGACATATAACAAGGGCATTATAATATGATATACCAGGACAAAATGTTAGGTTTCTTAGTGTTTCTAAATTCTTTCTAATTTATAGAAGTAAGACTGTAATAATTCTCATAGAAACTCAATAACCATATAATGAATCTAACTTTCAGGATAGTCCTTTCCCAAGAAGAACTCTGAAGATGATTCAGCCTTCAGCTGCTGGATCTCTTGTTGGGAGAGAATGTGAGGTATGCATTTACTGTGTTAAAAAAGGGTGCACACAATAATGCCTCTGCATTAAAAATACACCAAAATTTTCTTGATTAGAGACACTAAATCATTGAAATTTGGGAATTTAAGGAGTTATAATTTCCCAAAGAGAGTAGTTTTTGTTTAATTTGGGAAGTTGAAAATTTATATGAATACTGGAATGGTATAATAAGTTACTTAATTATTATTTAAGTTAATGATATTTCAAGATTAGAATGATAAATTCTCTAATTTATCTCTCTGTGTAAGTGATGGAATGAGGCTGTCTAGACTTTGACAGGTTGAAACTGTTGCCTTTCTGTGGTACTGGAATATTTAAATATGGTAAAAATAATTTCAGCTAAACTTGAGATGTATTCTGTCAAAATAACTGCTACAACTAAAAATCTTAACTCAAAGTCAAGTAATTCAATGCCATAGAGTCAGGATTGACTCATATTTGACGCTCCAGTGGGTTTCCAAAGCCGTAAATCGCAGAGGAGGAGATTGCCCATCTTTCTCCTGTGGGAGCTGCAGATGGATTTGTATTGCCAGACTCTACAGAGTACAACTATTTTAAATTAGCTAACTTTGAAAAAAGGAGAGCTATAGAAGTTAAAAATTTGAGTGCTCATTTGTAATGTTCAAATACCCAACTTCCTTATTCGGTAAATCATAATAAATGAGATTGATCTATGCATTTTCATTACAGTTGGCCAAAGGCATATACAAAAGAAAACATGGAACTGGCCAATTAACATCTAAGACTTCCAGCCCTGGAGGTGTTAATGCCCCAGAATATAATGAAAATAAAAATCTTGGAGGAGTCAACCAGGAAGCATTTGATCTTATGGTTAAAGGTGTGTAAAATAACTTTTACCTTGAAGATTTTAAATGGAATTAAAGGCAAATACGTATTTGTTACACTGTCAGGAGTTCTAGCCACAGCATTTTTATATAGGTTCTTTGTTTATATCTTTTTTTGTGGTTATTATTGTTTGTATACACGTGAACATTTGTTGAGGTCCAAATGTAGATAAAATAGTAAAGAGCAGGATAGTTGTTAACATAGCAGCTCTGATTTGATTGCCTTTCAATTGTATAAGATGGAAATAGATTTTTCATTAGAAAAACGTTTAGAGGATGAATTTGAATAATAAATTTAAGTAATCCAAGAGAATATAAAGGAAGCCAATAGAGAAACCTAGTCAAAATAAAACCAGTAATGATAAAGGAGAGTTGGTCCTATAATAAATACTAGTTTTTAATAGAATGGCAGTAGAATGTTGTTATGAAATGGAATATTTCCACAGACTAAAAGTTTGACTACATGTTTGTTGTGGGGTTTTTTGTTTTGTTTTGTTTTGGGTTTTTTTGGGGGGGAGAGGGGGCACGGTAAAAGCTTAGAGATAAAAAGATACCTTTACAAGGTTAAAATTTGATAAACCAGAAACCAAACCCGCTGACATTGAGTTGATTATGACCCATAGCGACCCTTCTTCAGGTTTCTGGGGCTGTAAATCTTTGTGGGAAGAGACTGTTCATTTCCAATATTGTGGCAAGTTGATATCATTTTGGTGCTACAATGTAGGACCTATATTTGGGCGATAATCTTGGGAAGAAAAAAAAAAAAACAACCACCCCCCTTTGCTTTAATCTAATCATAGGAATAGGCAAATCCCAGTTTGAGGGCAGTCAGTTGATAAGTACTTTTCAAAAATACCAGTGTTCACCATCCAGATAAGTATATAACATATAAATACTTAAAGCAAATGTTGCATATTTTATCAGTTTAGGTGAAATTATGTTTATTGCAGTTGATTACAATTCCGAAAGACGGAAATCTTTAAAAAATAAAATACTGGAAAAACATTAAAAAATTGATTTGGTTTTAATCTTTTAAAATGGGTATGACTATGGATAGTATTGAGTAAGATTGGAAATAGTTTTTTTAATAGAAAAAAATTCCTTAAGTTTTATGGTAGCATAAAACATGTTTGCATATAAAACAATTTCTTTCAGAAAATCCATCCTCTCAGTATTGGAAAGAAGTAGCAGAACAACGAAGGAAGGCTCTCTATGAAACTCTTAAGGAAAATGAGAAAGTATGTGCTGAAAATAGCTGTGTCATTTTTTAAAATTCAGGATTATTTTCCTTGTATTGCTTATCATATCTGTTAGAGCAGTGTTAGATAGCTTTCATGTTGATGTAAGGAAAGTATAATTAGAATGACAACTTAATTACCAGAATTATTTCACAAAAAGAAGCCTACTGTGTAGGGATAAAAATTTCACCTGAAGCACAAACAGAGACTTGTACACCAGTGGTATTCAATGGTTGTTCACCATCACAAGAACATGGAAACAGTCCAGATGCCCAACCACAATGGTGTGGATTGAGAAATTATGGTATATTCACAAGATGGAATACTATGCAGCACTCAGGAGCAATGATTTTGTAAATTACTACCTAACAAGGGAGGGACTGGAGAATTAGTGAACTAACTCAGTCTCATAAAGACAAATACTATATAGGAACATTGTAGCATAAGTATGAGGATCCAAGGAGCGAGGGTGCTTAATCATAGGGTCACACAATTTGATGGGTGGAGGGAGGGTTGGGTAAAGGAAAGGGGAACGATCTGATCCAGTGTGAAAAACAGTGTATACAAACTTTATGAACTTTCTAAGTAAACCAGTATAAAATAAAAACATTATCAATGATATGGTTGGAGGCTTAAAGTTTAGTTCTCAGCGTAATCATGTTGATAGAATTCTGAATTTATTTATGTTATATAGCTTCATAAAGAAATTGAAGAGAAAGACAGTGAAATTGCTCGCTTGAAGAAAGAGAATAAAGAATTGGCAGAAGTAGCACAGCATGTACATTATATGGCAGAGCTGATTGAGGTAGGTATTTTTAACTAGTTAAAATTAAATTAATCTAATTAAAAGTTCATAATTTTTTTTTCTCTATGCTATAGAAGGAGTATTCTATCATTGTTTCAGCTCTGGAATCAGATTTCTGGGTTTAATTCATAGCTCCCTGCCTACCACCATTAAGTTAAGCAGACTGTTTCTCTTGTCAGACCTTTGTTTTCCTCTTCTCTGAAATGAAAATATTTTGTAGGCTTGTTAACTTGTAACACATGGGAAGATAACAGAAATGACTAGGGGATAGAAGGGGAAAATAACTACTTAGTATTTATTATTCTGAAGCAATATTTATTTTATTGTAAAAATAGAACAGTCAACTTCTGCTTGAAAAATAGAAGGCATGGAAAATTCTATTTTATGGTTAATACATTTCCAAGCAGCTTTTACTTTAATGCTAGTGTGACTTTATTATCATTTCTCAAATTGTTAATTGGTGTACTAAATAATTTGGTGGTTTATTTTTTTTTCCATTTTTGAAATTAAAAATGTATTCATTAAAATTTGCCTGATGACTTAAGTTTTCACTTAGCAATAATGTGGAAACTTTCCTAAATGACCATAAAAAATTTGGTTCACAGTCCATTGGACATTAAAAACCTGGTCCTTCACTACAGATATATGGAAATGTACCGATTGAAATTGCATCCTGAAAGCCTTATAGTACTTTTAAAAAATGAACACATTTTAAATATTGACTTTGCTGAAATGTGATGGACTATAGTAAAACTTTGATGTAGCTCTTGACTATCAGTGTGAGTGTTGCAAAAGAGCCACATTAGAACATTGAAGGCCAATAATATTAGTATGCTAAAATGGACTTAGGATTTAAAGTTTTACCTTAATAATAAATGTACTTAATAATAAATAATAAATTATTGCTTTATTTTAAAAGAGACTGAAGAATGAACCTCTGGGTAACTGTGAATCATCGAGCAGTCAGGAATTTGAGTCGGAAGAGGAAACTGATGAAGATTCAGAAGTGGAAGACTCCGATATTAGCACAAGTGCTGAAGAAATTGTATCTTCCTCTACAGATTCAAAACCATGTACATGAAATTGTTTAACATTTGATTCTTGACAAATACACTGCCAAAGTTTACCTCCATTATAGTTCTTTGTAACAGAGTAAATAATCAGACTGACTTGTTTGAATCCTGAGACTGTTGTTGTATTAAAATATAAATATTACCTATTTTTCATCTTATTTTTATGTAAATAATATTTTCTCAAGCATCTAGCATAATTTAAGTATATGATAAATAAATAAACTTTATTCTTAGCAAGAAGCATTGAGTGTATCTTGATATGTGGGAAGCTGAATATCAAATTTAATATTAATAAACTAAATGCTATATCAGGATATGAGGGAGGCTTAATACAAGCTAGAATTCACCCTGTGGCACTAAGGCATTCCCTAAGAGTCATCATTGTTCTTTGTATTTACTGAATCCCTCCCTGAGATAAGCATAAGGTAAACAATAGAAAGGAACTTGGCCTTATCTGCAAAAGACTTCCCCATGATCCCTTGTTTTTTATTTGTACTCCTTTATGATTTTCCTTTGTTTACCTTCCTTATGATTCTCAATAAATACCCAGAGAGACATGGCTTGAGGCCTTCAGTCAAGGAAACTGCTGGCCCATAACAACAACATTCTATCTCATTCCTGGTAGTCTGTCTCATTATTAATAATTATAAAAATACTTTACCCTTGGTCTACAACATTGATAGAGTATAGTGTGTCTATAGAAAAAACTTCATTTTTTGTGTGCTTTAATCCCAAAGGCAAGCAATTTTAATCCACCAGCTGCTCTGTGGGAGAAAGGTGGACAGTCTCTTCCCATGTAATTTCCTGCTTCTGAAAACCCACTGGGGGTCAGCTATGAGTCAACTCAATGCCATACAACAACTACTAACTTAGGGGAAAATGAACAGTCTGCTGTTTAGACTGAGATGATTGACTTTTTCATTTCCAAAGCTGCTTTCATCTCACACTCATTAAAGTTGGAAATAGTATTGATTTCCAGACTTGATTCTGATACTATTCTTACTGAGTAGTTTTTGGGATAGAGCGTGAGAATATCTTTTTCTGAAGTCCCTTACGTGGATCTCATTAACCAGGTAAAGGTTTGAGTGGCTAAAATGATCATACTTTTTTCAGGAGTTTAAAATGATGGGTGATAATCTTTTGTAAAACCAAAGGAGGTGGCTGGTAAAACTAAGAGATGCAGAGATAGTTGAGGGTTTTAAAGCTTTCTGTATTCTCACACATTCAACAACCTGTATATCTGCAAAATAAATGAGTGTGGGTGGTTTTCATTGCAGTTCTGTTGAAACCAATTTATAGCTTACCCTTCAGTGGGTTTTCAGCAACTGTAAATTGCACAGGAGATTACCTTTTCCTTCAATGGGGCAGATTGTGGATTCAAATCAAGCACTTGGGATTGGCAGTGCAACTACCTACCCACTAGGCCACCAAAGTTCCCTAAGAAATGATAGGGTAAGATTAAAGGTAGAAAAAGATGACATAGAAATTGAAAAACATACAGCAAATACAATCGGTTGAATAAATCTGTAAGCAGCAGGAAGGTATGCCGTGGATTAAATTGTGTCTCCAAAAATTACATATATAATGTGAGAAATACTTAATGACTCTCATGAACTGGTAAGCCTGATTAAAGGTGGAATTAGAATGCAATACCACTTAACCATAACCCTGATCTGAAGTATTAGAAGTTTCCCTTGCATGTGGCCTGGAAAACCAGTGGTTTCACAAGTTACTCTCACTCATTAATTTTTCCTAGCTGGTCTTCAGTGGGTTTTTGGAAGCTGTAAATTACATGGGAGGATATTTCCCATCTTTCTCCCAGTGAGAACCTGGTGAGTGGTGCAACTTTCTACTGACTTGGAAGTAAGTTTAACCAGAGTGCATATTAAAGGTAGGGATAGTGAGACTTCATCTCACTTACTTTGGGCATATTTTCAGGAGGAATCAGTACTGAGAGAAATTAATGCTGGGAAAGGTAGAGAGGATTGGTGAAAGAGGACGATCTCAATGAGATAGGTTAATGTGACTACCAGTAATGGATTTGAACATGACAGATTGTGAGGATAGAGTAAAATACAGATCTGATGTTCATAGGATCATTATGAATCATAGTCGACCTGACACCTAAATGCAGCAGTTAGAAAAACAAATAGGTATGTATTTTTTAGGCACTTTCTCGTAAGTGTTATAGTTTGTAATAAAAACTTTTAATAGGTCTGGTTAAACACTTCAAGTACAGGTATTACATAAAAATTACTAATTTCTGTAATCAAACCTACTCAAGTAAAACCTTACATATTTGTAACTGCATTACCCATGTACAGATGGATTGACAACGGTGACTGCTGCAACAGGCTCTTGTGTGTCAGAAAGTGTGAGGATGACAGATCTTTTGTTCATAGGGTCGCTATAAATATATTTTACTTGATGGCACCTAACAACAGCAATCTCTGTACAAATGGAAAAAAAAATTAGTTTAACATTTCTAGACTAATATGGCTATTAATTTCTGTACAATGACAACTCTACACAATACAACTGGGATACTTTTTCCAAAGTTGACAGCACAATTTTCCAAAAATTCCAACTTTGTGTGTGTGTGTACATACATATACGCTAGGTTCTGGAGTCATCAGAGACATCCAGCACATTCCACTTTACATATACTCCTAACAGATAAACTTAGAAGAGTAAAATTCTGTGAAAATGCAAGAGCCTCACTTTTAGACTATCTGTGATGTCTGAACACATGACATTCTCTTCACGTAGGTTTGTGTCCATGATCACTGAGTGTCATTAACACTGGCCAGAAATTGTTCATTGCCTTGAACTTCCACTTGGTCCTGTGTGTAGGAAGATCACACTGTGGGCAGAGGCAAGACTCCAGTAAAAGGGCAACTGGGAGTCCTGCATGGAAATAGTTGGGTCTGAATGAGTATGGTTAGGTCCCTGAGTGTTGCAAATGTTAGCATACTTTCTTCTAATGGAAAGGTTGGAGGTTAAAATCCATGCAGAGGGGTCTTGGAAGAAAGACCTGGTGGTCTACTTCGGAAAAATCTATCACTGAATATCCTATAGAGCCCAGTTCTACTCTGACAAACCTAAAGATGTCATGTCTCAGAACCGACTAATGGCAGTGGGTTTGTTTGTTTCTTTTTTAAAAAAAAACAGAAGTCATTGGTGGTAAGTTGGAACCAACTCGTCACTGACCCTCTAGTGGGTTTTTGGAAGAATATAAATTGCACGAGAGGATGCTGTCCATCGTTCTCCCGGGGCGTGGATGGCCAGAGACATTGCCTTTGGGTTAATATCACAACTCCCCACAGATTATGCCACCCACCACAGCTTGCTTGAATGGATATGCGTGGGATAATAGTGCCTAATAATGTAAGCAATGTCAGGCTGGAGACTAAGGTGTGCCTGATCTGGGTTATAGTCTTCGCAATTACGTGCTATGCATCAGAGAGTTGGACAGTGAATAGGGTTTATAGAAAGAGAATTGATGCCTTTGAGCTTTGGTGCTGGAGAAGAGTGTTGAATATACCATGGACTGCTAGGAGAACAAACAGGTTTGTCCTGGAGAAGGTGAAGCCGGAATGCTCCTTGGAGTCAAGGATTCTGAAGCTATGTCTAACATACTTTGGGCATGTTGCAAGGAGGGACTGGTCCTTGGAGAGGGACATCATGCTTGGCAGAGTGGAGGGGCGGCAAAGGAGAGAAAGACCTTCGATGAGATGGATCGATTTTGTGACTGGAGCAGTGGGAATAAGTGTGCTTGAGATGGCTAGGTTGGCACACGATAGATGAGCATTTAGAGCTCTTGGACATAGGGTCGCTATGAGTCGCAAGTGACTCGATGGCACATAACAACAACAACAATGTAAGCGGTAACTATGAAATGGGTTAGGAGTTGACATTTCTAGGTGTCCTGGCTCAGTTATTTTAATACACCATCCTCACCCATTCACCATCACTCCTAGCAGGTATTTTACATAGATACTGCATCTTCTAGATGCACTACTATTTCATTAACTTAAGTTCTTTGAGGTTGTTTCAAATAGAAATGCTTTTCAGAAATTTGATTATTAGTAGAAAGTGTATGAAAATTGATAAAGAACTCTTCAACTATATAATAGAACACACTGATGAATAACATATCAGACTTTTATTATTATTTACTGCAGTTTCCCAGAATAGAATAAGGGTACTGTCAGCAGAAGCATATCAGTGGGTTTAGAGAAATTAAATCCTGTGAAAACCAACAAGGAAATAGAGCACCTCTGCAAAATTCTCAGGCCATCCAGACCAATTCTCAACAGCCAATACCTGCAGTTGATATTTGAGGAAGTAAAAATTTTTAAGTTCCTTCATGCAAAACAAGTTATTGCAGGTCATGGCAGAGAGGGTGTAACACGTCCAAAATTTAACAAGGAGGCGGCTGTTTCTTTCACTTTTCTCAGGAACTTCATGTGGCTCCTCAAGAAAACCAACCAGAAGAGGAATAAAATGCAAGTGTTTGGCTTTTCTCTGATTGATAGGGTTTAAGTAGCACCAGCATGCCACACTTTGGAGCAGCAGAATCTTTACTTTTGGTGTCATCACACAGTTTTCCAGCAGGTCATGTACTTCTTTCATGTACTCAGTTGCAAATTTCCCAGCAGCTGGTCCTCCTGTAAAATAAGAATTTCTATAAGTGGTTGGTATGGTTATCCTTGACAATATATCTAATTATTAAATATAAACTTTCTTATTGATGGCTTTTTTGGAATGCTCGTATGTTAGGCTCTTATATCTGTTACCAGGTGAGACTTGGGGTACTTGGAATTTTCCAGTCTTTCTCCGCATTATCATATGATGCTGTAAAGACTAACTAGAAGGTGTATTTTGAAGGAGGAGTATATAAAATAGAATCCCAGGGTGGTTGCTAATGGGAAGATTCAAGTTCACCTAGAGGTGTCTCAGGAAAAGGCCTGATAATCTGACTCATTGCCATTGAGTTGGAACTAACTCATAGCTGACCCTCCAGTGGATATTTGCTGTAAATTGTTGGAAAGGAGATTGGTCTTCTTTCTTCTGGAGAGCAGTTGTTAGATTGAAACCACTTGCCTTTGTGTTGGCTGTGCAATTCCATACCCACTGAGCCACCAGAGTTATTCCCAAAATAAACAGCTATTGAAAATCCTGTGGAGCAATTGTACTCATTCTCACTTGTGTTCATCCCAACACGAGTTGGGATTGATTCAATGACAAATTTTTCTTAATTTATAAAATCCTATAAGGTCACATCCTGCTAGTGACTTCTCACGGATTCCTTTGATTAGGCACTGCGCTTATTGTCTTTGAGTCAGAACTTATAGCTGACCCTCCGCTGGGTCTTCAGAGACTTGACACAGAAGAGATTGCTCATTTTTCTCCATGGAGCAGCTGGTGGATTTGAAAGACCAGAAAGGTGCTGCCTTTGGGTTAGCAGCACAACTTTCTACCAACTATGTCAGAGAGAGTGGAAATTGGCCTAGCAAGTCAGCTTTGTGATGATCTCCTTCCTGATTCTCTATCTTTATTGCTTGGAAGAAACAAGACAACCATTAGATCAAACAAGAGCAAGCCAAAGACTGAGAGGCACAGAATGTTAACTGGCGAAGAGTCTCTTGCCTAACTTTTCTACAGATCTGTGACCAACTTGACCTTAAAAAGATTTTCTCTGTCCACTGACTCCTTAGCTTGATCCTAGACTCTATCAGCATCAATCTGAATTCCTGTTCCTTCTAATTTGAATGAAGCTCCCACTTCCAACAAAGTACAAGCCAGAAGGCACTGGATAAAGAGTGTTTAGGTTATAAAGAGCGCTTGGCATAGTTAACCAGACTCCAGTCGTTGGAGAGTTGATTCTGTTGCATTTCTCTTGTGCTGCCACACCTAGATGAATGCAAAAATATTCTATGCAGCAATAAAACTTTAGCTGAAACTTGGTCAAAGTCATTCCTAAGGCTTTGCAAAAAAAAAAAAAATAATTTTTTTAAAACATCAAACTAAAGGGTTCTGGTTCTTTGATAATTTAGCTAGCACTGTTCCTGAATGATGAATAAATATAGGGAAAGAATCTCCCCATGAATAAAGTATCATTTTGCATTCATTCTCTTGGCAGTAGCACCTGAGCTCTCTGTATCTTGTATCTCTCTCCACCCCCAACTCTGATAGTGTTCCTCAACCATTTTGTCATCAAAAAATCCCTTTTACTATATTCTCTCATGGAAATCCTTCTTTGAAACATTTCATCTATCAAATGAAACAAAAGAAAAAACCTCCTTGAAGCCACTTGCTGTTTTAAGTCAGTTCTGACTCATAATGACCCCATGCATGTCAGAGTAGAACTGATGTCCTGCAACATTTTCAATGTCTGTGATCTTTCAGATGTGCATTGCCCAGCCCTTCTTTTGAGCTGCCTTTTTCTGGATATTAACCACCAACCTTTTGGTTAGTAGCCAAAAGCTTAACCATTTGTGTCACTCAGGGACTGTGTCAAACTACATCTGAATAATTGTTACTTTTTTAAAAAAATATAATAATTTTGTAGCTGTGGTTTGAGTTAATTAGATGTACTGTTGAGAAAGATATATCAAATTTCACAGTATCTTGAGAAGTGTCTTATAAAAAAGGTAGAATGAATTTAGATTTGACAATCATGAGAACAGTGTGTGTTTAAGATGATTTATCATTTAATTTTCTAATCAAGTACATAATAATAGTATATTTTACAAATGTAACACATTGGTTTTCCTGGTAAGTGCCCTTAAAACATTAAATTCTTTTTTAAGAAAAATTTTATTTTGTATTTTATTTCTTCAATTACCCATTCATGTTCATCAAGGTCGTAGTGAATTTCCAAATGTTTGAGTATTTTTCTCCTTTATCCTCTTGTTATTGATTTCTAATTTTGTAGCATTGTGGTCTGAGAAATTGCTTTCTATTATTTCTACATTTTAAATTTTTTTATTTTTTATTTTTTTATATTTAAATAGCATTCAGTTTATTACAAATATTTAGTATTGGCTTCCCATATTTCCCCTCTTTTGTTTATATCACAATTATGTTATCATCTAGGTGAAACATTAAATTCTTATTAATTATTCTAGTGGCATTATCATAGCCAGTGAGCTCTTTCCAAGGTGTGATTATTACTAATTGAAAATTGGAATTGATTGAAAATTGTTTTCTGAGTTTAAAAAAAAAATCTTACAAGGTAAAAAAAAGAAAATACTTTTAGTCTGGGTAAAATTATCCCTAGATTGGAGTTGTATTAACTAAATATGTTGTTATGTACTATCAAGTAAAAAACAGCTAACAGCTGACCCTCCAGTGGATATTCAGAGGTAGTAAATTGCATAGCAGATTGCCCATCTTTCTTCTGCAGAGCAGCTGATAGATTTGAACTATGTGCCTTTGACTTGTCAGTGTAACTCCTTGCCACTAAACTACCAGAGAGCCCTTTAGCTAAGTATGTTGTTAAATGCTGTCAAGTTGAGTATGACTCCTAGCCACCCTATGAACAAAAGGCCTGAACTCTATTCTATAACCCTATTTAAGGAAGGCCTGGTGATCTAGTTCTGAAAACCAGATAGGAAAACCTGTAGTTCATCATCGTTCTCTGTATCCGTGGAGTTTCCAGAGGCATGTGCTTTGGGAAGTGGATGCCACTCCTGCTTCCAAGCCTGAATCAATCTGGGAGCTCCACCAAACACTGTCTTACCATGGGTAACCATTATGGTGTTTGTCACACCTATGGCACAGTGTTCAGCATCACAGCAACCCAAGTTACAGCAGATAGACTACTGCTGTACCACTTAAAAGAATGTTCATCCCAAAATCAATAAACACCTACCAGCTTTTTTAAAAACAGGGATGCCCACCAAAGGCTGGTTTACTATAAACCAGAGACACCCCTACCCCCCAGCCTATAGCTCGTTGTTAGCTAGATCTGGCAAGTCCAATCATCTGACACCTGCTTGTGCACAAATAAAGAGCCAAAAAATAACTAAGTATAGATCTTTATTTTACGGTAATGAGAACTATGATTATGTTTGTGTGTGTATATATACAGCCACAGATATGTTGTTGTGTACTGTAGAGTTGGAACCAATCCATAGTGACCCACCACTCCAGAGTGTTTTCAGTCAATTAGTCACAGGGGAGGAGCTTGCCCATCCTCTGTAGAGCAGCTGGTGGATTTAAACCATGTGTGTGTGTGTGTGTGTGTAAAAATATATATATATTTAAAATTTTTATTTTTTAGAGTTTCCAGTCATTATTTGTTGCACTTTTCTCCCTACCCACCCCCTCCCCCCAATTCACTCTTCTCCTTGAAAAGAAAAACTCTTTCATTTTTATGCAATGCCCCCCACCCAAGTCCACTCCACTATGGAGCCTTTACTCTGAACTTCTATAATGACAAGAATACCCATTCATATATCTTTTAAATAGTTCTCTCCCTCATCTGTTTTAATATATACTATATATGTTGTATATACAGTATATATACTTGAATATATACTGTGAATGTATATATGTATACTGTGAATGTACTTAAATATATACTATGAATGTTATCGCATATATACTATGAATATATAATAAGCTTTGAATATATACTATGAATACTACTCTGAATATTTACTATGCATATTGTTGTTGGGTGTCATCAACTTTATGAACAGATCTGAACCTTGCCCTATCTTGCACCATCCTTATGATTGCTGATATACTTGAGCCCATTGTTCAGTCTTATACTACGTATTATATGACATATATCTTTAAAAATAATAAAATGGGGGGAACCCATTTCATCAGTAATTTATTTAATGGATGTTTTCTTTTAAAATTTGAACCCCTTAAGGAGAAAATAAGTATCTTTTGTGGTGCAAGGATAAAGAACTAACGATTTAAACCAAAGAAAGATTGTAAGAATTTTAAAACTACAGTCATGAAAATTATTAAATTACAGTGTTATTAACAAGGAAAAGGATTTTGAAACAATTGTTTTGAAACACTGTTTGAACTGGTACCTGTGAAGGCCAATAATCCAATTCTGTAGGCAGCTTGAGCTCTCTTCTCCAGGGCCAAAGACTTATTTCTCAACATATGACCTAACACCAAAATTTTTCCTTTGTGAAAAATACTGTCAGCTGAAGAAATATGTTCTTCTTCCTCTGTAACAAAAAAATCCTTAACATAGAGTTTATAGATTTTCTGGATACCCTGATATAGCTGCACAAGGTAATTATAAAGCCGAATCCTAACTCGTTTCCACAACCCATGTTTCTTAGTCATTGTGTGAAAGGGCCTTTGGTACTTAAACTGCAACACTAGTGGTAAAGTGATTTCATAGTCGAGAACTCTGGAATGCATCCCTTAGCAACACTAGAATGGTGGGTCAGTGGTAAGGTTCTTAACTAACATACAGGAGATATGGGTTTGATTTCTACCAATACTCTTGTCTGTAAGTGGAGGCTTGTGTGTTTTTATAATGTTGAACTTGCTTCAGTGAAGTGTCCAGACTAAGATCAATGTGGAAAAAAGGGGCTGATGATCTGCTTCTGAAAACCAGACAGGAAAGTCCTCTAGATCACATGGTCTGACTCATATTCATTCTCTATGTAGATATCTTTATTTGGATGCCTAAGAGGCTTCTGAAACTGAACATATACAATACAGGATTATTATCCTTTCTTTAGTCTATTGCTTCATAGCTTTAGCATCCCATTCTTCTGTTTGCTTAGGTTAAAAAAATTTTATCCTTTCCATATCTCTGTCTCATTTCCCATATTCAATCTATCAGGAAATCTTAATGATTCTACTTTTAAAATATATCCAAAACTTGACATTTTCTATAAAAAGAAAAATTCCACAACAAAAACACAACCTACCAGTCACATCATATTTCTACATATGTACTTGTATATATGCTGTAAGTAGATACATCTAGAGCCAATGAGGTGAAATGATGACAACTTCTTTTTTTAAAAAAAAGATTATTTTATTAATTTTAATGAACATTTACAGAGATTTTGGGTTTCCATTCATTCATTGTTGAGCTATTTTGTCTACTCTCCTCCCAAGTTCGTTCCTCTCTTTTTTTTCTCCCTTGAAAGTCTATTTTAATTGTCCAATTGCTACAGTGCTTGTGAAAACCAGTTCTGATTAATCTCCTTTGTCAGTGTGTCCTTTGCCGTTCCCTATCACTCCTCCCTGAGAGAGATTTCACCCTGATTCATTAGGAAAAGGGGACAGCGTATTCTCTTAGCTACTTCTTGCTAGGTTTCAGGGTGAAGATCTTCTCTCACTACTCTAAAGGGCCCCTTTGGCAATAGGAAACACGTAGACTATTGTGGAGATTGATTTTGGAATTTAGATGCACTGCTATCAAT